ATTTACACAGGAAGCGCGCTCTCGCGTGCGATTGCCTCGCCATTTCTTCAGACCCCGCGCCCTGGACACTCAGGAATCACGCTATCGCTGTGGATGTCCTGACGATTTATTTGGGAATCGCGCTGTCGCTTGAATTTCCTTCCTCGCGATTCATGCAGAACGCACGCTTCAGCAACCTGCCTGCCCCTTGTCCGTACTTTCCATCCGTCCTCTCTTCCCCTTCCTTAGGGGCTGCACGAAATACACGCTACAGGTAAGAAAGATATACCCCTAAGGGGGCCCCCCCCCCCCCCCCCCCCTATACCCCTAAGGGGGCATGATCGAAGACGAAGAGGGCGGGTATCGAGGATTTGGGATAGACGTGTTGACTGGCACGCGAGCAGATAAGAACAAACTGTCTAAACTGATTGTTCTTGTTGTTGGTCAATTCTCACTTCTAACAATTGTTGATCCCCTCATCCAGTAGCCACCATGCACTTTTCACTTAAAATACTCCTCCCAGTGCTCACACCCTGTTTTTCCATTAAGAAATGCCGCCAAACTGTACCCCTGGCCTCCGGGTTACAACCACAACGGCTCCCGCCTGATTCTTCCTCACAAGTCATTCCCAAATACGCGCTCTCGCGCGGGACTTCCTCAGAATGTATGCAGGTATCGCGATCTTGCGTAGGACTTCCTTGCAATTTCTTCATGCGACGCGCCTCCAACCCTTCGGAATCACGCTGTCGGTCTGGCCTTTCTCACGATTTACTTGGGAATCGCGGTATCGCTCGAGACTTCCTCGCGATTCACGCTCAAACTTCGGCAATACGCCTGCTCGACCTGGCCGCCTGGGCCCGCCTTCCCGACCCACCCATCAGGGTCTACCCGCTCGATCTGCCCGTCTGGTTCTACCACCTGCTTTCTGGTCCTAGTTTCCCTCCTGCTAATCTCTCTCGTGCTCCATCCTACTCAATCCCTCTCCCATCCGTCCTCTCTTACCCTGTAAAGGGGCTGCGCCAACTACACGCGGCAGGTAGGGAAGATATACCCCCAAGCGGGGTACGATCGATAACGAATATAGCGGGTACAGAGGGTTTGGGATATACGTGTTGAATGGTACGCGAGCAGATAAGAACTAACCGTCTTAAAATAATTGCTGGTATTGTTGGTGATGATGGTGTTGATAATGATGATGATAGTGGTGATGATGTTGTTGATGGTGATGATGATGATGCTGCTGATGATGCGGATGATGATGTTGATGATGATGATGATGATGACGATGACGATGACGATGATGATGATGATGCTGATGATGATGATGATGATGATGATGGTGACGGTGATGGTGGTGGTGATGGTGGTGATAATGATAATGCTGATGGTGATGATGACGATGCTGACGATGGTTGCGGTGATGATGATGATGATTATGGGGATGGTTGTGATGGTGATGCTGATGGATAGTGATGTCCTTTATGCGCACCTCGATGGTGATGATGGTCATGAAGATGATGATGATGATGATGATGATGATGATGATGATGATGATGATGATGATGATGATGATGATGATGATGATGATGATGATGATGATGATGATGATGATGATGATGATCGATGGGGATATCATGTTGGTGATCAGTGATGGCGACCGCAGACAACCAGCGACAACCAGCCGGCAAGACAACGACCGAAACGCGGACCGCACGGCGCCGACGCAGAGACGAGACCGTGAGCCGAACGCGGACACGAGACCGCCAACGAGGACACGAGGCTGCGAGCCGAACGAACGAGACAGCCACAAGACAAGCCAGCCGCGCGGAGAACGACACCTCGCGACGGCCCGTCGAACGTCCAGCTGGCGGCGCGCTCGCCGCATGTAGTGCCTCGTCGATTTGTTTTTCGCTCCCCCACATCCGCGGAGTCTCATCAAACTGTCCCGCCCTCAGAAAAGGCATCCAACTCACCTCTGATCCTGGATCCTCGGCCTACTTGATCAGCGGGTTGGCGAAAAGCAGCACGAGCGCAATGACGAGCCCGTAGATCGTCAGCGACTCCATGAAGGCCAGGGACAGGAGCAGAACTCCGCGAAGATCGTCGGCGACTTCGGGCTGGCGGCTGATGCCGTCGATGCAGCGGCCAGAGGCGATGCCCTGGCCGACGCCCGACCCGATGGCGGCGAGGCCGATGGCGAACCCCGCGCCCACTGCAGACAGCGCCGGGATCCACACGCTTGAGCCCTCCGCCGCGTAAGCCGCGGTGGGCGCCGCGAGTGCCGTCGCGCTGAGCGCCGCCGCTGGCACGGACTGCGCCGCGGGGCGGGACGCCACTGGCGAGGGCACGAAGGCAGCCATCAGGGCGGTGCACGCGAGCAGCACGGACGCGGTCAGGACGGCGGAGCGAGGCGACGCCATTCCAGTGGACTTGGCTTCAGCTCTTCGAAGACTGGGGGGTGCGCGCTGCGATGCGGCAAACTTGGGCCCAAAAGGCCTGAGCCAGAGACAGATGTGCCTCG